TTTGTCTTTGTGACTTCATAACTAATGGTTAAATGATTAATAATAGAAATGAACAAAAACGACACCAAGGGAATGATTTAAAATAAAAACATTTTTTAAAACAAAGACATTAATTAAAGTCCTGTATCTTTTTCACTAAAATGWGCATTTCTGACTATAAGTAAATATAATTTAAACAAAAAAAAAAAAGAATTTGTTCAATTAACTATGGTTAGGTTAGTTTACACTGTCTCTGTTAGAGTGGATGAAGACACAGATACAGTATTAAAGCTAAAACATCAGCTTTTTGAAAGAATAAAAAGCCAAAGTTTTCCTATAAGACTGTTTTGTTGACACGTGATGATGACTATTTTATTTCCTGTGCTGCAGGAGGACCCTCAGAGCAGCTCCTCGTGTTCTGAGCTGCTGCAGAGAGTGTCCTCCTACCTGGAGCTGTCTCTGCTGTGTGAGAGGCCGTACATCACCTACACTTTAGCTGTGACTCTGTTCAACTTCGGCTACTTTGTGCCGTATTTCCACCTGGTGGCCCACAGCCGCCAGGCCGGCTTCTCGGAGTACCAGGCCGCTTTCGTCATGTCGGCTGCAGGAGCCACGGACATTCTGGGCCGGGTGGTGTCGGGGTGGTTCTCGGACCTGGGCCACTTCCGGACCGTGCACCTGCTGACCCTGTGGACGGTTCTGGCGGGAGCGTCCATCATGCTGCTGCCGGTCGGCTCTTTGAGCGGCTCCTACGCCACGCTGGTTGTGATCAGCCTCCTGTACGGCTTCAGCTCCGGAGCGCTGACCTCTCTGGTGTTTGCCGTGGTGCCGATGATCGTGGGCGTGCAGCGGGTGATGGGGGGCCTCGGGCTGCTGCAGCTCATAGAGAGCAGCGCGGGACTGCTGGGGACGCCTCTGTCAGGTCAGAGCCACTGATCAACCTGAGCGTTAGTGATCTGTTCTGGTGTTTAACTGTTTTTATCTGTGTTCACAGGTTGGCTCAGGGACRTCACAGGGAACTACCTGGCCTCCTTCATGGTGGCCGGCTCCTTCCTGCTCCTCGGCAGCCTCACACTGGCCACCCTGCCTCACTACGTCTCCTGCACGGACCCCCCTCCTCCTCCTCAGAGACACAGCAGCAGGAGTGAAGTCATGAAGAAGGTTCTCACTGACTCAAACCCACAGAGTGGCTGAAGAGTCAGAGAGGCCAAGTTCAGACAAGTGGACGTCGTCAGCGTGTTTGACCTCAGGTCCAAAATGATGCTTCAGGTGAAACGTGAAGAAAAGGTGCTGAGAAAGTAGAGTTTCAGGTAAAATACAACAAGGAGTTTTATTTTGGTAGCAGAAAACGGATGATGCAGCTAAAAAATGCTGTTGCCCCATSAGAATATTAAATATTCACCTTATTATATATATTTTTTCTTTGTTCACTGAAACTGTGTTCCCTGAATGCACCACGGATGATTAATAAACCTGTTACCTGAACTCACCACGGATGATTAATAAACGTGTTACCTGAACTCACCACGGATGATTACTGTACCTGTGTTCCCTGAACTCACCACGGATGATTACTGTACCTGTGTTCCCTGAATGCGCCACTGATTACTCAACCTGTTACCTGAACACACCACAGATGATTACTAAATCTGTTCCCTGAACKCACCACGGATGATTACTGAACATGTGTTCCCTGAACGCATCACAGATGCTTACTGAAACTGTGTTCCCTGAACTCACCACGGATGATTACTGAACATGTGTTCCCTGAACGCACCACAGATGATAACCTGAGAATCCTCCATCTTCAGAAAGCTGCTGCTGTTTGAGCACATTGTTTCATGAGTCATTATTTTACAGATTGATAAAAAAATTAATGTTATTTATAAAATGTAAACATTTTGTTTATATGATGCATTGTATCAAGTGGTAATGTTTTCATACAGTGTGTTTGGAGTTTATCTTTAAACGTCAGGAGAGTCTCAGGGTTCAAATAATTTTTCACTTTGTGTTTAATAGCTTGAAGTTTTTTTTAATCTAAGAAAAAAAAGGTCCACACGTCTGTAAAGACCTGTCTGTTTGCTCTCACTGTTAACACTTAGGTTAACACTCATCTAGCTGCAACGAGCTGAGCGATCGTGGAATCGCAGCACTTGGCCTCAGGAATTTCTCCTCGGTCGGAGCTTTGTGCGGCCCTGCAGGATGTCGGTGTTTCAAACAGATGGTCCGGTGCTTTTGTTTGGACAAACACCAGGTTTTCCTCTGGGTCACGGTGAACCGCTGGGTTGGTTTATTGCAACAGCTTTGGTTAAAGTTTAGCAGCGATTTTGTAACTGTTTAAAGGTAAAAATGTAAAAATGTTCACTTGAATAGAAGTTTTTTTTTCCACTCAAACTGACGTTTTAGTTTCATATCTAAAGGTTTAACATCATAAAGACTGGACAAAAAAAAGAAAATTATACTGATGGTTAATGTATTTTTAAATTAAAATATTGTAAGCAAAATTTGTGACTGAATGTTAATTACTATGAGTTTAAACTACAGCTGGGTAAATCATGTGGTTGTTTACATTGAGTGTGGACCTGCATTTCAACACTGCACCTTTTTATGTTTGACTGTTTTTAAAATGTTACATTTATTRTCCACAAAGTAACGCTGCCCTCTGCTGAACATTTAGTGGTAAAACACTCATTTTAAACCCCTGCTGGCTGATGACCCTCAGGGGTCATTTTGACCCAAAGTCAATTCCATAAAACCAGGTCAAAGCTTCACACTTCAGTGAAATTAACTGTGCGTTTGCACTGTGGTTTATTCACTCAAATACAAACTTTAAAATCCTCACATAACATGGGAAAAATACATAAATATTGTTTGTAATTTAAAAAAATTTTGACAACCTTAAGGGTTTATGGCAGAGTTGATACAAAATGTTCTTTAATATAAAACAAACATTAAAATTTTCATGTAAAACGTCAGTATTGAAACAAGGAGAGACATTTCATTTAAAAAGAAAACAGATTTAATTAGAGCCTCCCGGCAGAGCGGGGGTCTCTGTGGGACATAAAACCTCCTCATAAATCTGCTCCAGTCTTTCCACTCGGACTCGATTGTTCCGCTGACAAAGAGTTCAGTGTTCGGAGCCTTGGTCCCGTCTGAAGTCAGTACCAGCTGAGCGCTGAGCCAACATGTGGCAGGTTTCCAGGAAGAACATTTTTGTTTTTGTTTGTGTTTGTGTTTGTGTGTGTGTGTGTGTGTGTGTGTGAAAAGACACAGATGTACAGATGAGTGAGGAGGAGGAGGAGGAGCCAGCAGCTGGTTAGGATTTTGGGTCTGCACTGCGGCGTTTGAGCTTCTCTGGGTTATTTGAGGCCATGTGTGAAAAGTCTCTGAAAATGTCCTGGTAGATTTCATCACCTGGAAGACAAAAAGAAGACATGAAGACAGCCTGAGGACGTCCTCGAATTTATTTAGACTGAGCTACAGACGTCTGGACGAGATGCGTTTGATTTTAGCTACCCAAAAAAATAATTATTATTTCCCAACACCTTAGAGTCAAAGCCTGAAAAAGCACAAAAAGCATGCAACAGAACGGCCTCACCCCTCACACACAGTTGTATTTCTATCCATATTAGGACCGTTCATTTACTCCTTTCTACAGCCTGACCCCAACCTAAAAATGGACCGGTCCTTTGGTCCTCGTAAAGAATACTAGTCTTGCCTTGACAAGGTAGGACTGTTTACCAGAAACGGTCCTAAAAAGGTAACAAATACAAGCGCACACCCACACAAACACTCAAAGCATGCACGTGCAATTTACCTCTTAGTCTGCTGAGGGCGCCACACTGCACAAGCAGTTGAGACCAGTTGGACATCTCAGCGGGCAGAGGGCGAAAACAGTGAAAAGAGCACAGCACGTTCAAATACTGACCAGCAGACAAACACGTCTCCATTCCTTCATGACTGASCCCCGCCTGCCTCCCCTTACCCCTCCCAAACAACACACACATCAGCCTGGGAGCAGTCAGAAAAGAATGGATTTTGTAGCTTGAAAAGGAGCTAAATGACAAAATGCAACAAAAAAAAAGTTTTTGACCTGAAATATTCCAGGAGAGCAGAGCAGAAGCTCTGCTACCTGACTGACAGCAAATAATTTTAAATTAAAAATAAAAATGTAACAGCAGGAAAGCTTTAAAAAAGGCCGATCTCATGATTTTAAGTGGAGTTCTGTGAAAAGATGATGAACAGTTAATATCTTACCTGTTGTAGATAGCTCTTTGAATGACCCCAGAGTGAAGAAAAAGTTTCATTCTGATGGGATTGATGAGCTGATGGCTAGTCTGCAAGGGACCTCAAACGTCGCTAAAATCTATTTTTTTTTTTGGTAATCGTAAACAAAATGCTAATTTTTAAGCCCAGTTTGGTCAAATAAACCGAAACATCTTTTCAATTTAAAAAATTGTCACTACAAATTCTCACAAAATGTTTGTGTAATTTAAACACACACTGTACTAATAAAATCGATTTTTATTWCCTACTTTATAAACCACATAATCCTGCATGTCCTCCTGCGTCTATCAGGGGGTGCTGCTGTACCCTGTGCACCCCTACTTTTTGCAACCTTGTTTTAAATGGACTGATTTTAGATGAACTTTAACAAAAACTACTTTGGCTTGTTTTTTCCTCTTCACCATGTCTGAAATGCTAGCTAGCTGTGTTTTTAGCTGCTGCACTATTGAACGTAAAAGGTAAAAAAATATAATATAAAATATTTTTTTTGATCGACCATGTTTTAAAATGGCATCGGTCCAATTTGGTCTTGACTCTAATCAGAATAGATATTTGCTCATCAGTGTGGTTCAAAGAGCTATCTACAAAAGATAAAAATATATTTTTTATTTTTTGCACTTTGCTCCACTTAAGAAAATCTGAACTATCTTTTTTTTTTTTAATTCCCTCCCTGAACTGTGAATAGTGAGGGAAAACCGAACACCAAACCCAACACTGAGTGTAGCTTACATAACTGGAATGATAAGCCAATATACAATAAAATACAATAAAACCTATTAAAAAGGTCAAACATTGTGCATATTGGATATAATAAATATCCAAACTATACATTAAAAGACCTGATAAAGAGCAAAATGTTGAAAACACATTTTGCTTTTTATTAATTGACCACATCTTTGAATATTTGTGGGTTTCAAAGAGCAGCGTTTAAAACTCAAAGTGCAAATTGAGCTTTTTTCATTCAAGCTTCAATACATTTTTTTTATAATTTGTGTATTTTTTAATCTTCTTTGTACCTTGTGCTTCTCGATCTACAAGAAGTAGATTTATGCATTTCATTTATTTCTATTCATCTTGTCATTTAAGCTCTGCTTGTCCCCCCAGAGCCCAGCCACTTATATGATTCTTTATAGCCTGCAGACTCTTCCTTCCCCGGCTACCTGCCCCCCCCAGTACCTCCCCGGACCCCTGACCCCCTGAATGACCTGATTGACCGAAGGCTCCGTCCATCTCCCGCATCTCCTTGTTCATTTTGGCGATCCGTAACCTGAAAGGTTAACAAATAATGATAAAAAGAAACATCAGAGGATTTTGCGTTTTTTCTGGTTGAATTGGTTTTAATGAGGTGAAATACTCACAGGGTGACGATGTCGGCGTTGGCGTTGTCCACTGCGATGGTTATGGAGTCTTTTTGGTTCTTGTCTCGGGCGTTGTAGTCAGCTCCTCGCTTCAGGAAGAGACAAACCAAYCTGGAAACGCAAACCAGGAAGTGTTAACTGCTGTAGGTTTTAGAATTATACAGCAACACAAAGATWTATTTAACTCATGTGACTGAGCACTAAACAGAGCCCTTCGCTCTCAGGCTGCAGGTTTACTTGTGGTTTCTAGAGTTTCCAAAAGTAGAACAAGAGGCAGAGCTTTCAGTTATCAAGCTCCTCTCTTGTGGAACCAACGTCCAGTTTCTGTCCGTGAGGCTGCACTCTGTCTACGTTTAGGACAAGGGTTAATGGTCTCAGTTGTTGATAAATCCTATAGTTAGGTTTAGGTTTGGTTTCATGGGTTATCCTAATTTAGACTGTTCTTGCAGTCGGTCCCCAGGTTTGAACAGATCTCAGGAGGGATTCTGGTCCACTCCTCCTTACAGAAACTCTAAATTCTTCAGGGTTCTTGGCTGACGCTTGGCAACATGAAGCTCCCTCCATAGATCTTCTACGGTTTAGGCCACATCGTGACATTTTTGTGCTTCGTTTTTAGCCGCTCGTTTGTCACCTTGGGAACGTTTGGAGTTCTTGCCATGCTTGAAGACACCTTTTCAGTGTTATGGCTGAGAGAAGAAAGATTTAATGTTACGTAGCCTCATCCGCTGGCTCCTCAGTGCGAGGTAGTCGTCCAGGGTTCTTAACAGAATAACAGCCTCAACTCATGTTTCCACCTCCCCGCCTGACTGCAGGGGTGATGTTCTTTGAGTCGTACTCAACAKTTACCAAGAGCTTCATCTGACCACAGAACTTTCTCCTGAGTCTTATCTGTATCATAGACCTTCACTGGCAAACTCTCAAAGTACCTTCTGGAGCAGGAAGATTTGTGGTGTTAATGTGTAAATCATCATAGTTACACTAAGTGGTAGGCATGGATCAGCTAATCAGCTAATAGCAGAACTGATTTTTTGTTTAGCGGATTAGCTTTTTCATTAGCTTTGAAAACTGTTAGCGGACCAGCAGTGTTGTATAAAGTACAACAAAGTGATATTTGAGTAAAAGTACAAGTATCTTACCAAAAAAATTCTTTGGTAAAAGTTAAAGGCTCCTTTAGGAATATTACTTCAGTAAAAGTCTTAAAATATCTGATAATGTTTGTGCTTAAGTATTAAAAGTAAAAGTATTGATTTAAAATGAGCAGTTAGATTTTCTGTAAGGACATTTATGGACCTCCCCAAAAAATGCAGAAATGACTGTTGTATTAAAATAATTAATTTATGTTAAGTTTATGATTAACTAGTCCAGCTGTTTCAGTTTATATCAAGGGAGCMCAAACCTTTTCCCCAAAATGAAAATCTATCTGAGGGCTGCAGGTCAGATGCAATAATATAACTCATGAAATACAAATACTTCTTAAGTACRGTCCTTTTATTTTAATGATTATGTCCTGCTGGAGTGTGACATGATTTGTTTGTGTACAAACTAATACGGTATCAGAGTTTTATATATTTATACTTCTCATCCAACCACAGTTAAATTCACTCTATCTAGGAGGCACAATTTATATGGATAGTATTTATTTTTTTACAATAACAAGCTGGAATAAAAACAAGCAAAAATGAAATAAAAGTAACGACTTTCTACTTCTTGCCTTTTTAAAAATGTAAGAAGTAGAAGTAAAATGTAGGCTGAAAAATAATTATTTAAGTACAGATACATAAAAATTCTACTTAAGTACAGTAACAGCATATTTGTATTTTGCTACTTTACAACTTTGCGGACCAGTTAGCTTCTGCTAAATTAGGTTTTGTCCACTTTAAGTCTGCTAGCAGCTAGCTAACAACAGGTTTGCATCAGTCCCACACAGACTGAGTGACAATCATCTTAGCGGTTRGCARWTAGCTCCTAGTGTTAGCATCTGCAATTTTTTTACATGGTTAGCATTAGCAAAGCCATATTTTTAGTTAGTGGATTATGAGTTAGCAAAGCTAACATTTTGGTTAGCGTAGCTCACCAYTGGTTAGAATAAAAAACAAGGGGTGAAACGAGAATCTGGAAGTCTGTGCTTGATTGTGCGTTTTGTGTTTCTCTGATGTATTGCGGTGTGTGTGGGTGTGTGTGTTTGTGTTTGTGTGTACCCTGTGTGACCGAGGATGGTGGCGTGGTGCAGCGGCCCTCGCCCGTTGCTGTCCGCCTGGTTGACGTTGGCGCCGTTCTGCAGCAGGAACTCGCAGGCTGCCAGGGCATTCTGAACAAAACGGATCATTTTTATTACCTCCTCAAATAAAAGTTACAAATTTAAAATGATCAAATGTTTTCACTTATTATGTGTTAAAATGATCCATGATTAGTTGTAACATAAATAAAAATATATTTTAACTGTAAATAAAGACTGTAAAAATACTCTTGGCTGTTTAGTTTTTATAAATTTTAAACTAAAAGTTAAAAAATATGTTACACGAATGGGGCCATTTTATTTGCACACAAAGCATTCTGGGTAAATGATGAT